CTCCACAGCAGCCCTGTCTCATTCTGCTCTGAGCTAGCAGAGACAACTCAGGGATTTGACACATAGCCAGCACCATTTCCTTCACTCCCCTGCATTGCACAATTATATGCAGAAGGATTTGGGGGAGCATTTTGCCCTTAGTGTTTATGTTGGAGCAGTGCGGACAGCAAACCCATGATTTACAACCCAGCTTTGACAGTGGAGTTATGTATAATTAGTATTATTTCTGAAAAAATACCCTTTTTATTTCTCCCTTGTTTAGACTGGTACAGCTGCAGTTCTAAACCATATTTCATATGCTGCTGCTCCAACACAAACTTCTGTCTTTATTAAAAACAATATTAAATGGACTATAAACTCTATCAATTTAGACTCTATAATGAAAAATACTAGTGGATGTTGGAGAAACAGTGGCACAAAATGGATGTAAGGCCAGGTTGTAAGGGAAAAGTCTGAGTAAAAGGATGAGTATAATAAGAACATCAAGCCATTTAAAAATTACTCTCTCTATATATATATAAACATTTTTTTCCTGTGGGATGACAGAGTGATGAATACAGGACACTTGGTAAAATTACTCCTGGTCAAGCAAATTGAATGGCAAGCAATCAGAACTACGCAGTATAAACATCGAATTAACAATAAGTTGACTGAACCCCTGTTAAAAAGAAATATTGCGTAGTAGCTAGATTATTTTTATTTACTTTCTTATCTTTAAGGCTTCAGGGTTCACACGGGGAGGGTGATACACATGTCCCCATACCCCCACTCACATACACATCTTTCCATACACCTATATCATGCAAGGTGGGGACTGGGGGGAGGGAACCAACTAACCTGCCACCCTGCCCCATGATATCCACCCTCCATACCTGGGACTGGGACTGGGCTCCACCTCTCCTGGTGCAGGGTTCCATGCCTGCCTGAGGCAATTCATGGAGGGGGCAGATTTCTGTCAGGGTTCACCCCAGAATGTGGCCAGCAGCAGCTTTTAGCACTATGCATCCAGCCACAGGGGACTGGGGAGGTGGGGGGAGGGATGGCCTGACCTTTGTCTTTGCAAAGCTCATTTCTTCTCTCCTGCCAGCACAGTCAAAAAGGCAATTAACACCTCCAGACAGCTGAGGGGCACTAACATAGCCCTGCTGCCTTCTGTCCCCTGGCTACACTGGGGGCAGGAAGGAGTTAAACCCTAAGCCTGCATTGTGCCCCCAGATGCAGGGAAACTATCCTCAGAGACATCAGCCAATCCAGGAAGAGAAGTGGGTCATCAGGAAAGGGTGCTTTGGAGATGGAGCAGCCCCTCGCTCTCTGGGGCAGGACTTTGAAGCATATGAAGAGGGTGCTAAGTTTCTGTCTGGGGGAGCTGCTGTGGAGCCTGCAACTTCAGGGTGTGAAGAGGCTGGAAATCACTCCCCTCACCACTCCAGAGCCACTGTGCCAGCACTGTGCGAGGCTTTGGCACATGCAGGGCTTGGCTCCACCTAGCCAGAGCCCAAGGCTGGAGAGTCTTGGGCTTTCCTTGGATGCCACCCAGCCAGAGGCAGCAGGGGAAGGAAGGAGCCTGCCAGCCAGGCTATTGGTGAGCTGAGTGCTCCAACTAGGGGCTTGTTTTCTGCACAGTGCCAGGTGTGGGACACTATGCAGCAGGTTGATTTGTATTCCATATCAGCAGGCCCACATGTTCACCTCCAAAGGAGTCACAAATTATCACCTCTGCATTTTTACAGTCTTCAAATCTAACAGCAGCAACATCATCTCTTTTAAATATATTGTTCTTAGTAGGGCTGTCAAGCTATTAAAAATTTAATTGCACAATTAATCACTTGCGGCTCCCCTTTGAAATGCCACAGAGGTGTTTCAACGGGGCAGTGCTGAATGGAGCCTGGGATCAGCTGGGGACTCCACATGATCTCCGGCTCCGCTGTTGCAAAGCCCCTTTGAAGCACCAGAGCAGAACTTCAAAGGGGCACTGTAGCATTAACACCTATGATTAATGTGTTAAAAAAATTAACACGTTAATCCTGTCCTGCATTAATCGCAGGCATTAACTCAGGGCAATTGACAGCCCTAGATCTTAGCAATGGTCAGCCATGAAGTTCTAAGACTCATTCCCTAATTGCACCATATTTTTTTTTCAAATGCAGATTGTAGTGGGAAGGATAGTAAGGAAGAGGACTTCCATTAAAATATATCTTATTTCAGTAGGAAAGAAAGAAAAATGTCTTTCACTCACTTGAAAACTTTCATTCCCTGAACATGTATTTCAGCATATTCTGTCCTAGTACATTAGCATTTAAAAACAGGCCTTTTACAAATTAAGGCCCCAGTCTTCCAATTCGGAGTCTATAGTATTTCAGTGGGTCTTCTCATGTCCCTAACTCAACATGAGGGGTGCAGAATTACAACCCAAGAAGAAACTGAAATTTGAAAATGCACCACTTGTATTTATGTATTATTATTGTTAATACTATTATGCAGGAGATTTTTATAATTCAATCTAGTGGCTACCTAGTAAATGAACTTTCCTACACTAAGTAAGGAATATTTGTGAGTCTCAATTGACAGTGCTTCTCAGACACAATTCATTACAGGTTGCGCCTCAAAATCCAGGATTCTCTGGTCTGGCAACATCTGTCATCTGGCATGACCATGAATGTTCTAGAGAGTCTCGGCGGGGGCTCAGGAGCCAGCAAGTGGCTCAGTTGGACTGTGAGGTGTGGGGGGCGTGAGCTGGTACGCAGCTCAGCTGGACTGTGTGGGGAGCCCGGTAGAGAGGGGCGGCAGCAGGTGGCCTGAAATGACCTCTCTTGGTCTGGTAAAGCCCTCACCTGGGACCAGTCAGGTCCCGAGGCTGCTAGTCCAGGGAGGTCCAACCTGCAGTTAAAACATTATTAAACATCAACATGAAATAACTTCTCTCTACAACAGCACAGAGCTGAACTGAGATTACTCAAAGTAAAACATGCCTAAGTAGCTAATTAGTAGATTCAGTCCAGAGAATTTAACTAGAAACCACAAAAGATCTTTAAATGGAAGACATGCATGAACGGGCAAAACTTGTCACTGATCTTAAAGGGGCAGAGCGAGAAAGTAAAAATACCTCTTTGCATTAAAGACTGTAATAGACAGCTCCACTGGAACCTGCCATTTTGATAGAAAAGCCAAAGGCAGAGAGGCTACGTCTAGACTGCGAGCCGCTTTTTCAAAAGCGAGTCTAGACATTCTCTTTCGAAAAAGCACAGTTTGCATTCAATAGCACCTTTTTTCCAAAAGAGTACTTTCAAAAAAAGGCACTATTCCTTGTAATGCGAGGTTTACTGCGGCTGAAAAAACGACAGCGTTCTTTCGATTTACTTTCGAAAGAACGTGGCTGCAGTCAAGATGCAGGTGAAGTTTTTTCAAAAAAAGGCTACTTTTTTCGAGAAAACCCTGTAGTCTAGACACACCCAGAGAGAAATTCTTGCAGGCATTATCCAAAAGAGAGGGTTACAGTATCCAGTAAAGTAGATTAAGCTACTAAAAAGCTATCTATGCAAGTTAATCTGGCTGTGGCATAGCATACGACTTCTACGGCTCAGTGTTTCATTATGTTGAAGAAGGGGCAGTTGAAGCAGGGGGCTCAGCTAGTAAGGAAAAAAAATCTAATTAAAATCACAACCTCTAAATACATTATTTTCTCTAGATTGTGAGTTTCCATCTCTTTACTGCATGTTTGGCAGTGCTACCGCAATCCAAGTGACAGGAATATCACAGGACTGAGAACAGGCAGAATGAGGGGCATGAGATAATGATTTAAAAGAATCTAAAAGAAGCAAATGGATAACTCAGCAAATTCTTCTTAACTTCCTCCCAATTTAATATTTCATGGTGACAGTCTCTGCTACTTTCAGGGGTGCACACAGAAAATATAGCCCATGGGAAGGGGGGCAGTGATGACTTTAAGCCTTCTTTGTTCCCTTGTATTCCAGAGCTGCTCCAGAAGCTGGACCATAATGGTCCCATACCACTGTCTAGAAACTCCATAGTGGTCCAGTCCACTCTCTGAGATACCACCTACATTATGAGAGGTTGTATGAGAGGTTCTTCAAAAGGAGCCAACCAGTCGTCTTCCACAATTTCTGCAACCTGAGAAATCCTCCTCCGACCAGATACAAAGCCCTTTTAGGCCTCTCCAGCTGTTTTACCAGCAATCAGCAGTAAGGATCATGCCCTGATGGTGCATATACTTCTCTACGCTTGAGTTCTCTTTGCTCCACTGACATCTTTATCGCTTTTTTGACACAGTTAATAAAGCATAACGTGAACTAGACAGCCCACAAAGAAATATTTGAAGAATACCTTTCTATATATACCATCAATATTTATGCGGTGATAAGAACATATCTCGTCAAAGGCAGGCCCAAACATTGCTCATACAACAATGAATAAATAAAATAATTGTGACCTCACAGTTAAAGGAAAAAAGCTTCTCTAAAAGACAGTTAATCTAGCCCTCTCACTGCTGAGCCATCTCCCTACTCTGAATGGTATCCCACTAATAAACTGCTGCTTTTTATCACAGAGTGTTCAGTTCAATTCCCAGCTGGGCAAACTCTTAGCATGTCTATCCTCTGCTATTCACCACATCAGCTACTGAGATGATTATAGAAAGAGAATTATCCCAAGGATTTTGAATAGGACACATAAGAACCATGGGCTTCCCTTACTTAAATGGCAAGACACTCTGTTTACAACAGTTGAGAACATAGCCCCCAAATATAAGAAAACAGAAGTGTACAGAAGTTAAAATTAATGCCCTCTAGTAGCATTAATTAAGGAGGTAACTGGGGAATATTGGTGTTATACTTTTATCAGTCATATATACCTAGAGTGGATAGAGAAGAAGGTCAACAGGATTTAAGGAAAGATATGATCTGCTGATATGTCTTAGGTTAAAGATGTTTTCCTTTCCAAAATGTACTACACGTAATAACCATAAAATGGATTTGTCTTCTTACCTTCTTCAAAAGGTTCCCATTCATAAAGTCGACCCATAAATGGTTTGTTGTTGTATGATGCACATTGTACCTCTCTGATATTTCTGCTGCTTTCAGGACACATCTATTACAACAAAGAACATGGGTGTTATGATTCAAGTGAGATTATCATCAATTTCTTCCTTAAGTATTTTTAAAAACGTATCTAATAAAGATGTTCCCAAGCTTATATCCAAAAGAATACATTACAGGAGGCATCTTTTCTACAAGGCTAGGAATTAGAAGCACACTCAGGAATTGTGGCTGTTCTATGCAGTCAAAAACATCAGTTCTCCAGTAAAGGTCTTTGTGTGAGGGGGGCCTCACTGGCAAAAGCAAGTAGTGAATATTCCTCTGAGCAATCCCCGTGTGGATTGACCAGCTTTTCCCATATTCCACAAGCAGAAACAGGCAATGAACACACTGGGGTTAATAAGTTATCTGAGTTACTTTTTACAGTTGGGGAACTAAGATACAGAGAGAGCTCAGGGTCTCACAGGATGTTTGTGACAAAGCAGGTCCAACTTAATCCAAAAATTGAAAAAAGATTTTTTGAATACAAATAAAACAACCCCCTGTTTAGCTCACCATCCATGATCCAAGTCCCCAAAATATTTGGAGCCAAAACTATTTCAAAAAAACATAGCAAATCTGAACAAAATTGGGTTGACGAAAAATGTGGGTTGTTTTGGCAAATACGTTATTTGTCAGAAAAATGTCCCTCGTCTATGGCCCTAAAGTTGATATTACAGTGATGAGCACCATAGAAATGTAAATAAACAGACATAATATAAACAAACGAACATGCTTTGGTCAAAAATTGTAATGATTATTTACAATAAAACGAAAATCAGAAGAATCCAAAGAAAGAAAACACTAATGAATTTTGTGAACTTAATGGGGTAACTTTTTTACTGAGCTGTCATTTTTTCAATCAAATGATAATTTAAGAAAAATCCTAGAGGGCACAGATTCAACACAGCTGAAACTAACACTTAGATGAAACATCCAAAGCTGGTCACTGTTATTTCTTAGCTTATATTCAAAACTCATTCAATCTACAGTTTACTTTTTCTTCCTAGCTATATGCGATTCTGTTCTTTCCATTATTTGGCATTTCGACTTGCCTCTTAGCCCCAACTGACTATTCTTGAAACTAAACAACCTGCTAGACACCAAAAATGAATGTGTACTTCACACAAAGACAACAGGATGTCACACAAAGAACCAGATCATCATGTCAAGTTTCTCTAGTGAAAAGTGAGTGATTTCAAAAGAATAGGACCACAACTTGTGCCATTGATTAACTCATTCATCTGTATCTACCTTATTGTGGAAGAAAATAGTGAGAAGAGAACTAAACTCTAGTGATATTGCTGAAATTATGTGTTGTTTTTCATATATTTATGTCAGGTGAAGAAGTTTTCCTTATTATGGAAGCCAATGTACCAAAGACACTACATAGGGAGCTGTCTGGTCATTATCTACCCCCTGTCTACAGACACGTATCTGTTTGGCTGATGGAAACAATGAAATCTAACATTGTAGTCAACCTGTGGAACTCCTTGCCAGAGGAGGCTGTGAAGGCTAGGACTATAACAGAGTTTAAAGAGAAGCTAGATAATTTCATGGAGGTTAGGTCCATAAAAGGCTATTAGCCAGGGGACAGAAATGGTGTCCCTGGCCTCTGTTTGTCAGAGGCTGGAGAGGGATGGCAGGAGACAAATCGCTTGATCATTGTCTTCAGTCCACCCTCTCTGGGACACCTGGTGCTGGCCACTGTCGGTAGACAGGATACTGGGCTAGATGGACCTTTGGTCTGACCCAGTACGGCCGTTCTTATGTTCTAACTCTCTCCCAGTTGACACTACATTGTGCCAAAGTCATATCCACGTCATAAATTGCTTTCTCTTTATTAGTATACTAGAAGACATACCCAGCATTGCCTTAGTCCACGGCTGGCCCAATATAACTGTCCCCAATGCTTCCCGTCCCCTTGTGGTGATTCGGTACAACTGTCCCTGCTGTCACACCCTTTTCTGTCCATTTGATGCAAAACAATCACATTCCATGCACATCCCATTATCCTAACACAGTTAAACCTTGACCTTGCCTTTGAGTTATAAGAAGAGGAAGCTGCATGCCAAATCTGGTGGTCCAACTCTTACGTTTAGGATAAGTTCTTGAACAAATGAACTCACAGATGGACGGACAGACAGACAGACACAGATGTACAAACTCTCTAAACGATATAGTAAACTATAATGAGCTTGCTAAAACAATGCTTCCATCCAAACAGCCATCTGTTCTTTTATTTCTTCCCCTCCCCCCCCCACCCATCTAAGATCTCCAAGGGAATTCAAATATTGTTTTAAAACAAATTCAATGACACACATACTTACACACCCTAAAAATACAGCTGAGAGTTACCAAGATATGGTAAGGATGAGATGTTACCCCCCTATCAGGAAACGCTTCACTGCAACAAGAGTTAGCTACATCATAATAATGTCAGAATAAACAAGGCAACATTAAAAATGAAGATAAGACGACTTTTTATACTATAAGACGACTTTTTATACTAAAAAACATCCCCCAAAAATCGGGGGTGGTCTTATACGCGGGGTATAAACATACAGGCAGTCCCCGACTTGCAGGTACGAACGGGGCTTTTCTCGCCCCGGAGGACACGGACTGCAGGACCTCGTGGTCCCACCGCCCGTGTACTCCAGGGCAAGAAAAGCTGCTCCGCGTCTCCCTGGTCTCTGCGGTTTTGCAAAGCCTCGAGGGAAGCTGGCAGCAGGACAGCCCCGA